GTTTAGTATGATCTTCAACTGAAGTGATACTATATAATTTAAGTGATTTGTATGTTAGTATCTTAATTCATGTTGAGTACATTTTTTTATGTTAAATTGTATTCATGTGTGTTACTTGGTGATCAAGTAAGCTTTAAGGGTTTATTTTAGTTTTAGAAGATCAAATGTGATTTTTGGGTATTGAGTTTCATTCCACTCCAGAAAATTCTAAGGTTTTAAAATTGTATCTTGATTTTTGGGGGAGCAGCTCCGCGGTACGGTACAGGGTTATTTTTGTAAATATGTACCAGGGTTTATTTATTATAAAAATATATGTAACCTAAACCTATGAGACAGTTGACATTGAATAAAAATTCTAGCGCCGCTTAGGGCACCGAGGACGTAAGCACATTGTTGAACCTCGTTAAAATTCTTATGTTCTTTTTGTTTTCTTTACCCGATTATTCAACAATTGGTATCAGATGTCAGGAGCCAAATTCGAAGTTGCGAAATTCGATGGTCAGGGTAACTTCGGATTATGGAAAACAAGGGTGAAGGATTTGTTGGCGCAACAAGGGATACTGAAGGCTTTGCGACCTATAAAGCCGGCGTCGATGGAGGAGGAGGAAGATTGGGAAGAATTGCACCAGCGAGCGACAGAAACCATACGATTATGTTTGGCGGACGAGGTCATGTATCACGTCATGCATATGTCGTCTCCAGATGAAATTTGGAAGAAGTTGGAAAGTCAGTTTATGTCCAAATCCTTAACGACTAAACTGTATCTAAAGCAGCAGCTGTATGGGCTGAAGATGCAGGACGATCATGATTTGGCGCAACACGTGAATGTCTTCAATCAAATCATTTCTGATTTGGCTCGGGTTGATGTGAAAATTGAGGATGAAGATAAAGCGATGATTTTGTTGTGTTCGTTGCCTCCCTCTTACGAACACATGCTAACTACTCTTACATATGGGAAAGAGACTATCAAAGTTAAGTAGATTATTGTAGCTTTGTTGGCTCACAACCAGCGGAAGCAGAATGCAAGGGAAAACTCTCAAGCTGATAACTTATATGTCAAGGGTATTCAAGATCGTGGACGGAAGCCAGAGAAGGCAGGGTCTTGGAAGCGGAATTTCAAATCCAAATCCAGGGAAAAAACATTCACTATTACAAGTGCAAGTAGGCGAGACATATGAAGCGAGACAGTCCAAAGTTGAAAAACCATATTGATGAGAAGCATGATGATTCGTCCAAGTCTGTGAATGTGATCGAGGATGACAATTTTGATTGCAGTAAGGGTGATATGCTCTCTATTTCAACGACACAATTAACATATGCTTGAATTCTTGATTTTGGATGTTCTTATCACATCACGCCAAATAGGGAATGGTTTTCGACATACAGATCGGTTGATTATGGTTATGTTTACTTGGGTGATGATCGATGTTACAATATTGTAGGTATTGATGATGTCAGAATTAAGATGTATGATGGTTCTGTTTGGACGTTGTGTGGTGTTCGACATATCCCAGATTTGAAAAAGAATTTGATTTCTTTGGGCACTTTGCACAAGAATGGTTTTATCCATAAGGCTGATGAGGATAGGGAAACCATTCGGATTGTTAAAGGAGCTTTGACTGTGATGAAAGAAAAGATGACTGCAGGGAATATTTACAGATTGTTAGGGAGTACTATTGTAGGTGGAGTTCATTCTGTTGAGTCCTGTGATGATACTACCAAACTGTGGCATATGTGTTTTGCTCATCTTAGTGAACGTGGTATGGCTGAATTACATAAAAGAAATTTGTTGCATGGTGTTAAAAGCTGTAAGCTCGATTTTTGCAAGTATTGTGTTCTTGGTAAACATACTAAAGTTCGTTTCAAGACTGGGAAGCACACAACTGAAGGGATTCTTGATTATGTGCATATTGATGTATGCGGGCCTTCCACGACATCGTCTTTGGGTAGATCTAGGTATTATATTACTTTTATTGACGATTTTTCACGGAAAGTTTGAGTGTATTTTTTGAAACAGAAGTCTGATGTTTTTGAGAAGTTCAAGTTATGGAAAGATGAGGTAGAAAACCAAATAGAACGAAAAATCAAGTGTTTGCGGTCTGACAATGGTACGGAGTACACAGATTCACAATTTCTAAACTTCTGTAAGGAGCATGGGATTAAGAGGCATTTTACAGTGCGGAAGACACCACAACAGAATGGTGTTGCGGAACGGATGAACAGGTCGTTGAATGAAAGAGCAAGATGTTTGCGGTTGAATGCAGGGCTTCCCAAACACTTTTGGGCTGAGGCTGTTAACATGGTGTGTTATCTTATCAATAGATCGCCAAGGGAATCATTGGCTGAGAAAGTTGCAGAAGAGGTATGAACTGGTCATGATGTTACTTTTGATCACTTACAGATTTTTGGTTATCCTGCTTATGTTCATGTACCTGCCGATGAGAGATCCAAACTTGATGTAAAATCGAAGGAGTGTATTTTTATGGGTTATAAGAAAGGTGTCAAAGGATTCAAGTTCTGGGATCCATTTGCGAAGAAAATTGTGATCAGTAGAGATGTTGTTTTTGATGAACAATCCATGTTGCAGCAGAAGAAAGACACGTCAGTGGTGGATTTCGAGCAGTTTCCAATTGAGAAAATAGAAACTTCTCAACCGACTTCAGGTAGTTCCTCTACGGATGATTTGCAGGATTATAGTCTCGCTAGAGACAGGGTGAGATGGACGAATATAAAGCCTCCGAACAGATTGAGTTTTGAAAACTTGGTCTATTTTGCACTTACTGTTAGCAATGATGATCCGATTACTTTTCATGATGTTGTTACTAGTTAGAAAAACAACAAGTGGATGGCTTCCATGGTTAAGGAGATGGAGTCTTTGAATCAAAATCGTACATGGAAGTTAGTCCGTCTTTCTAAGGGTAAGAAGCCTATTGGTTGTAAATGGGTGTATAAGAATAAACCAGCAGTAACAGAAAAAAAGGGGAGAAGTTCAAGGCTCGTTTGGTAGCAAAGGGTTTTTCACAGCAGAAAGGAGTTGATTATGATGAAATGTTTTCTCTTGTCGTCGGGCACACTTTAATCCGAGCAGTACTTGTATTGGTGGCTAGTTGGGATTTGCATTTAGAGCAGATAGATTTAAAAACTGCTTTTTTGCATGGTGATTTAGAGGAGCAAATCTACATGCAACAGCCTAAAGGTTTCACTCAACCTGGAATCGAGCATTTAGTTTGCAGATTGAAGAAATCTTTGTACGGGTTGAAACAGTCTCCGAGACAATGGTACAAACGGTTTGACTCCTATATGATCAAGATTGGCTACAAGCGATATGAGTATAATTGTTGTGTCTATGTTAAGAGCCTTGATGATGGTTCTTTTATTTTTCTGTTAATGTATGTTGATGATATGTTAATTGTTGCGAAGAACATGGATGGTGTTATCGGTTTGAAAACTTTATTGAGTCAGGAATTTGATATGAAAGATTTATGTGCTGCAAAGAAAATTCTTGGAATGGAAATTTGCAGGGACAAAGACTCAAGGAAATTGTGGTTATCTCAACGGGGTTATGTTGAGAAAATGCTAGAAAGGTTTGCGATGAGCAGCGCAAAATTAGTAAGCACTTCATTGGTGAATCACTTTAAGCTTTCATCAGAATAGTACCCTAAGACAGATAAGGAAGCTGAAGATATGGAAAAGGTTTCGTATTCTAATGTTATTGGTTGCTTGATGTATGCAATGATATGTACTTGTTCTGATTTAGCTCATGTTGTTAGTCAAGTTTGTAAGTACATGTCTAAACCTAGTAAGTAACATTGGGAAGCAGTCAAGTGGATCTTTAGGTACTTAAAGGGTACTGTGGGACATGGAATTGTTTTTTGTAGTCAACGGGATAATAATTTGGTTGTAGGATATGTGGATTCAGACTATGCGGGTGACTTGGATAATAAAAGATCTACGACAGGGTATGTATTTACTCTTGGTGGAGGCACTACAACAAAACAGGTTTTAACGGCATTTTTTTAACCCTACAATGGCGTTTATAAGTGCCGCTAAAAACTTTCTCGGCGCTTGCAAAAATGCCGCAAGTTGTGCCGCTATAACGAGCGCCGCAATAGGTCGAGACATATAAAGGCGTTTTTCTTTACAAACGCCGCTATTGACTGTGTATTTAGCAACGTTTGTCTTTATAAACACCGATATTGACTGTGTATTTAGCGGCGTTTGTCTTTATAAACGCCGCTATTGACTGTGTATTTAGCGGTGTTTTTCTTTACAAACGTCGATATTGACTGTGCATTTAGCGGTGTTTTTCTTTACAAACGCCACTATTGATTGTATATTTAGTGACAAACGCCGCTATTGACTGTGTATTTAATGTCATTTGTAATTAAAAACGCCGCAAATAAGCCCATTATTAGTGGCATTTTCATCTAAAAACGCCGCAAATGTCACTATTAGGAGTAGTTGTATAAAACACCATTAAAGACATTATATACTCCCACAGTAATAATCAGTTATACAAATCAAAGCTTATATTTACATATATTAAAATAAATGTATAAAAATGTATCAAATAATTTAAAAATAACTAAAATGTAGCAAATGTTACAAACGATAAATTAATGGTTACCAACATTGTATCGATAGTTATCAAAATAACATAAAATGTGCGATCATTGGTTGCAATGAATGAAAATGCTTCAAGTTCAATGGTAGATTCCCAGTGATGTTCACAAGTTCCACATTTCAAGTACTAAATGACACAAAGCTTACATCTGCGACAAACCAGTTGATAACGAGCGAAATTATCGAATCATCTACTGCAGTTTCTTTATCCCGGGAAAAGAAGGTAGAAGTGCGATGAGAGCATCGCCGTATCCAACGGAATCTGTCGTATTAAACAAAGAAAGTTAGAATAACTGACCATGGGACACCGTAAAATACCGCAAGTTGAAATGTATATTGAAAAGATGGCAAAGACATACCGTCGTCCTCCCTTAGAATTTTCCAGCTAAGTCCCTCACAATGTATTACCGAAATCCATCAAGCTAAAACGGAGGCAGCCAAAAGAGTAAGAATAAATTTCAACATCTGCAATTGCTTCAATTCAAAACAAAACAATTCAAGTAGAAAATTCATTCACATTAATCAAGATATTTATGGCACAATAATCAAATCCACCTACTTTCAGTTCAAGCTCTGCAATGGAAGTTGTATCGCATACATCTCTGATTAGAGATTCCACCTGCAGTTAGAGATTATAAACAACAAACTTTTCAAATATAACTCGAAGTATAAATTCTTTCATTCATTTATTAAAGAAATCCCAAAACATGAAATATTAACATATTTATTCCAAATTTATAAATTACGAGTAGATCAAAAAGAAGAAAAATCATTTACATTCTTTTTCTAATTTCCATATATAATTTCCTCATGGCTGCTTTAAACAACTACTGTGCAGTAACTTCAAAATCTACTGGTCAAAACATTTTTATAATTTAAAGGTGGAAAAAGATACCAATAATGACTTGACATAACATATATAGCTTCCATTAATGTTTTAAAAGAATAGATATGAACTCACCCCAGATGCATTTGGAATAAGTTGGCTAGTCAAACCAGCCATTTTAGTCTCTTCAGCTTCTTCTGTTACATTTATAGTAGCTGCAAGACGGCAACCAAAAGTGTGTGGATATAAGCTATATAATGAAAAAAAATGAATACGATTCTCACTCTAAAATTTGATTTTTACGCATTCTACATAAAATGAAAAACGAAGGAAAAAATAACATATAATATGATGCTTTCAACAAATCATTTAAGTTAATAGAACTCAAGCGAAAACAGAGATGAAGAAACTTCAGAATGTCCAAAATTACACACTAGGATTACTAGGTACTTCATTTCCAAGTTTGACTGAGGTTCATGTAAGTTAAGTCAGCAAATAAATTGAGCAACAACAATCGGAAAAAAGACATATTTTCCTTATTCCAATAATCTTGAGTGGACAATAGAATCAGAAAGAGAGATGAAATCAATGTTATCAACTTGCACCATATAAACTATCACATTATCCTTCAAAGTAAATAAACTAAAAACTACTTTTCTATTTATAAGGTACTGCATAGTAGTGTGTGTGTATCCCTTCTGTTGTGCATATGTACATACAACTCTGCATAAATAGATGTATTTATGCATTATGTACTAAATAAGAAGATTAGTCTGTAATGCTATCCAAGGGGTAAAATTCTATTAAATAAAAAAAACATGTAAAATATGACATAGAATAATTGTGCTCATGAGACTGCAACAATGTGAAATGTATTTCTTTAAGAACCAGAAGAACTATTAGCGAAGGCATACTAGTTTCCTGTCTCAACTCTCTATATCGCCATACCTTGCTGCACAGTGAATAAAGTTGATCAAGTGGGGATTTATCCCTAGACATGAATATGTAATAAGAGATCTTGGCTATAAAAGTAAAATAAATAATTAAAAAAAGTAAACTTATTAGCATAAATTACTTACCCTAGGTTTCCACAGTTGGACCTCAACCAATGTTGAATGCCATCTCTGAGCGTCTAACAGGAAAGAAGTTCAGTTCCGAATTCGAATTAAAATTGTTCATAACAGAAATTATGTACATCAGAAGTGAAGTCAATAAACCAAGCAGTTAAACTAAAACAAATAAGACACACAAATAGGAAAAATGACTAGCACATTAGGTTGAAAGCAAACTTACCCAAAAGCAACACACAAAACTAGATTGCGAAGTAAATCAAAACTGAAGATGAAACCATAAGTGAACAAAGAAAAACCTGAAATACCCAGAAATGAACTAAGAACAAAGGAGCGAAGTCAGATAAGAAAAGTCGAATTGAGAATAAAAAAATCAAAAGAAAATTGAATGAAGGTGAAGAATGACGAAATGACTACCATTTTTTCTTATTTCTTATTTGTAATCAAATTCAAGATTTAAGAAAGAAACAAAAAATGGAGTGAACAGAGCGACATTTGATTTGCAAATAGGCAGACATTTACCATTTAGGAAAGACAAAATGGGAACTACACCTGCGATGGAGTCTTCGGTTTGACATCTGAAAATAAAAATTCAAAATAAAAATGGCACGAGGAGAAGAAGTAGCGGCAGGGCCATTGTCGAGAGAGAGAGAGGCAAAAGGCACAACAGGTAAGAGTAAAGACTAAAGAGAAATGGGTAGGTTTTGACAATGACAAGGTGTGAGATTTGGGGGGAGTTTTTTTATGGCGAATGTGATAATTTCATTGAGGGAGGAGGATAAAATAAGAACAGTTGGATAGGCACAAGCATAATAAAGACTAAATATTTAGCGGTGTTTATATACAAACGCCACTAAAGTACATTTATTTAGCGGCGTTTGTGCTTAAAACGCTACTAAAGTACAAGCATTTAGCGGCGTTTGTACTTAAAATGCCACTAAAGTATGACTTTTTAGCGGCGTTTGTATAAAAATGCCACTAAAGTACGAGTCTTTACCGACGTTTGTATAAAAATATTGTTAAATACAAGTAATTTAGCGACGTTTGTACTTAAAACGCTGCTAATGTACGGGACTTTAGTGGCGATTGTGCTTAAAACACCGCTAAAGTATGAGTTTTTAGTGGTGTTTGTACAAAAATACCGTTAAAGTATAGTAATTAGTGGCGTTTATATAAAAACGCCACTAAAATACCAGTATTTACCGATGTTTGTTCAAAAAACGCCGCTAAAAGCCCATTTTTCTATAGCGAGGGCCTATTTGTTGGAAGTCTACTGTTCAATCTCTTGTGACATTATCTACAATTGAAGCTGAATACATGGCAGCGGCTGAAGTTGCAAAAGAAGCTTTATGACTTACTGGTTTAGTGAAGGAATTGGGTGTTCAGCAAGGTGGAGTTCAGTTGCTTTGTGACAATCAAAATACTATTCACTTGGCTAAGAATTAGGTATATCGTGCTAGAACTAAGCATATTGATATAAGGTTTCACAAGATCAGAGAGTTGGTTGCATCTGGAGAGATTTTGTTTCAGAAGGTACATACTGATGAGAATGTCGCTGATATGTTCACCAAGCCAGTTACAACAGACAAGTTCATGCATTGCTTGGACTTGTTGAATTGTTCGAGTTGTTAAAGAAGTAAGGTAACCCAACCCACATTGAATGTTTCCTAAGGGGAGGATATTCGCCAAGGTGGAGATTTGTTAGGTATGGCTCATAAATATACCGGTAAACAAAGAAAGCCTCGTAGTGGGTTACGATTATGTGGGTTAGGGGTACGGGGGCACAGCTGTAACACCCCCAACCCGTACCCGACCCGGATACGAGTCTGAGGTATCACATTGACTTTTCAAACTTTGACTCTTGACAAAATTCAAAGAAAATTTAAAATTTTCATTAAAGTAAAAGCGGTTTAGTTACATAAATTGACCACAATAACCAAAATCAATCAGAGCATATTTAACTCAACTAATTAGTACATGCCAACTATATTCAAAAATAACCAAAGTCATTTAAATCCTCTATTTTCTGATCTGACCTGTCTTGCTTCTCTTAACTTTTCTTCTAGCTTTCCATAACATACGTGTGAAACATTCACACACTAAGTCGATGACTTAGTGAGGCATAAATAAACTAATTATAGTATATCATAACTAATTCCTATTATACACATTTCATGTAATCATGATAAACTATAAAATGCTTCCAAACATAAACGCATATATATACATATTGTTTCACAAGAAACACACACATATCATCATGTAATTATGATAATATATTTCCTAACACAAAGCATATAAAGCGTATGTAATGCATTTATCATTATCTCTTTAATAGTCTTATTTTCGTTCTTTATCTTTTAGACAGATGTTTTTGTACCTATTCTTCTTAACCAAGCTATATACACATCAACATCATATCACATATATCATTTCTCATCATAAATATTACAAACAAAGCGCATAATATCATACAAGGTTCTTTTATCATCTTCTTTATTAGCCCATGTACACATGTGAGAACTATAGATATGTGAGTCTATAGAGGTTGTGCACTAATGCTGCCACCACAACTCGTATAAATGCACTGAAGTGCCACGTAGAATTGCACCTAAGTACCGCGTAGAAATGCACCTAAGTGCCGCGTAGAAATGCACTGAAGTGCCATATAAGATGTCCCTAAGGACCACATAGAAAATTCCTTTAGATCCATATACATATTCCAAGGACCAAGTACGTGTCTCAAAAGACCTCATAGATGTTCCAAAGGACACATATGTCTCGAAAGACCGCGTAGACCCTCGACTCTTGGCATGCCAACTATACCCCTAGCTCTCATGACACATAACATATGCATTATCATTTATGTCATTTCACATGTTCACATATACATATTTCCTAGGCACGTAGTCTCATAGTTTTTGCACATAGCTCATTATCACATTTTCATAAAATCACATAGTCACGTAGTTCACTTACACGTAGATCATTTCCATATAATTCACCTGTCACATATCTCATGTTCTTGTATTCATATAACATATAATCACATAGATTATTTTACATCGCATAGTTCATAGTTATGATTTCATATATTACCTAATTATCAAGCTAATTCACATATACATGTTCTCTATATTTCTATCATTTATCCCACAAACACATTTATTCATGTATAATATTTCATCTAAACCTTATATTAATGTCATATACTCATATCACCGAATAACTTCAATTGAATATATATTTTGTTCATTTCAATGCTTAAATCATATAACACATAAGTTTTCCTTATGTCATTTATGCTACTTATTCATATAATCTTATTTTATCTCATAGGTAAATGCTTAGGGATTGCAACGGGCCGGGTATTGGTCCCCCCATCCCCGTCCCCATTTAAAAAACCCGTACCCGATTAAAAAACTACAGGGATTTAAACAGGGATCCCCATCGGGTAATCGGGAAAAATTGCGGGGAAATGGGTATCCCCATTTAGCATAAACAATTATTTAAACGGGTAATTTTCACCGCGGGGATAACCGCGGTGAAAATTACCCGTTTAAATAACCGTTTACCTTAGATAATTATTTTTCACCACGGGGAAACACGAAACTTATACATTCTATATTAAAACTTATACATTCTATTAATTTAGTTATAACTCAAAATAATTTCAATACTTCAAAATTTTATCAAATTAAAATAATTTAATATTTGAGTAAATTTAAAATAAGTTAAACAGAATCTAAACACGAACCAAAATTGGGTGAGTAGTAAAATACCCATGGAATGATGGTTGGGAAATGTAGTCTTAATTAAGATGAAGAAAATCAGACTGAAATAACATAGAGCACCTCGCTGTTGTGACCCCAAATGATTGCAATAAAATTAGCAATAAAGCATGATAAATGTGAATCACCCCTCCTCCGACTCAGACTCGGCATTCTAGAGCCACTCAATGAAGGGCTTGACACCACCACCGTCATCAAACAGTTGTGACCCCCAATTGCTATAATTACACAAAAAAAATTATAAGCCACCAAAATTTATATAAAAAAAAGTTATTGATATCACGTATAACTTGTATATCAATTTAGTACCTCGTCACCATCATCACGATCATATTCGATGCTTTT